GTGAGATCCTGTCTCAAGATAAAAAGGGGTAGGGATGTAGCTCAGTGTAAAGGCCCTGGGTTCAATGCCCAGTATTTAAAAAAACAAACGAGAGCCTACGAAGATGTGAATGATAAGGGCTGCATGACCTCCCTGCAGGTCAGGGCCCCTGGTTTCCCTGTTCCTACGCCCACTCCTGCCAAGAGCAAGTTGGGTTACCTTGGTCACAGTTTGACCCTAGCCTCTCAGTCTCACTGACCTCCCTGGTCAAATGCGGACAGGAAACTGGATGCTTTACCTCCCGTCTGAGAGGAGGAAGTTAGGTTATACAAGGTCATATAAGGTGCCTGCCTGGCAGGTGCACCGTCCTGAGTTCAATTCCTAGTTTAAAAAAAAAAAAAAAAAATTGAGCAGGAAGAGCCGCTTGAAAGGCTGTTGGAGGAACTTTGTACCTCAGTTCAGCTGACTGGCAGGTTTGATCCATTCCCAAATTCTGTTTTTTGGGTTTTGGGTTTTTTTGGTACCGGGAATCAAAATCAGGACCTTGCCCTTGCCAGGCAGGCGCTGTCTCAAATTTTGTTTTTAACAATTAAACTAAGGCCCTGCAAGGTGCTCTCCCAGCTGTTTGGGTGGCTGAGGCAGGAAGATCAAGAGTTCAAGGCCAGCTTGGACTACATGGCAAGAGCTTGTCTCAAAAAAAAGACAAAAGAAACAGGCCGGGCTTGGTAGTGCACACCCATAATGTAAGCACTTAGGAGGCTGAGTCAGGAGGATCGCTGTGAGTTCAAGACAATCCCAGGATAGTGAGCTCAAGGCCAGCCTTAACTGCATAGTGAGACTGTCTCAAAAAGACAAAAAATTAGGACATCCAATAACAGAGAAGGTTGGTTTGCCAAGCCGTGTGTCAAAACCTGATTTCCCAAGGTTACCTACAGTGCAAAAGACTTGAAACATATCCACAAAACAGTAGTCCAAACGAGCAATTCCTAAAAATGTATGGAGCTCTTGTGACTGACTCATTACCGACCCAAATGACAGCTGCTTCCAGTGTCCCGACAAAACCTCCACTGACCAACATCATGAAAAGATTAAAGA